CTGAATGGACACGAGTGGACCCCGTGGCCTCTCCATAAGCTCCGGCTCCTCTCCCATAGCCGCATAGACATCTAAATCAATATATCTTTCCACCAGTTCATCTCCTGGTCGAAAGGAGGGGGACTCCGGGATCGCCGGGGCCTCAAAGGCCGGGGCCTCAAAGGCCGGGGCCTCAAAGGATTGCGTGCTGACTGGAGAATCTCGCGACTGGCTCCAGGACTGGCTCCACGAGTGGCCCGATGACCGGTCCCCGCGATTGAGCGCCTGGATCGTGGAGATTGCAGACCGTTGAACGGAGGCCTCGATCGATGTCCGTTGCCGCTCCAAGCGCTCGTCGATGTTCTGCAACAAACCTGACAGATCTGACAGTTGGAGCAGTTGGAATATGGAATGGATCCCAAGTGTCAAGGAGCTACTGTATGAGTGGCAGCGGCACGACCAATATATCATGATCCATACTGTCGTTCATGTTTTCATGTGAGATTCTACGATCCCAGGTGATCCTGGCATACACAATAAATTCAGGAGGATTTATTGAATTGAATGTCGTGCCATGCAGCTCAGCAGCCTTGTCGGCTTTCAATGCTCAGCTTCAAAGTGCTTTTTCGGGGGTTCCTAGCCTCCCCAGCAAAAAGAATCTAACATAATCTAACAACAAAGTGATTCGACCCTCATGCCCTAGGCTTTGAAAGCTTGCCTGACAAGGGTTGGGTAAAGTCCAAGCTTGCTGTACAGTCACTAGCAAGCTAAATACAGAAAGCAAGCAACTATGCCCGAGAGTATAAGGGCCCTGCGGGGGTGGATAAAACGGCCGCAAGGGTAGAGCTTTGTTAAAAGATCCCCAAACTGGTGGGATATACAATCAGAAGCATCCCAAACTCTACAGATCGGAAGCAGAGTTGATGCATTGATATTGCGGGAGCCCTTCGAGTAGTCAAAAATGACCCGGGAAAAGCAATTGGGCCTTGCACGGAAGCACCACCTGATTGCTACAAGAATAGAAAGCTCGACCGCTGGCCTTCATCGAAATGACAAGAACTTAGCAAAGTCTTGCAAACTCTTCCCAAGTCACACAATCGGGGTTGCTCCAAACAACCCAGGTACAAGGGGGATAAATTTGGGAATATGGAGGTAAAATGATCCATGTACTCCCCCTATAATGGGTTGGAATACATAATGGGTTGGAACAACGCCAACAATCTTTCCACAATTCCTGTGAAGGGAGATGCAAACGGGCAACGTGACAATGAGTCCTTGAGGATCGTCTCAATCTTCTCAATTGTCTCAACTGCTTCCAGACTTTCCATGGCCCTGGCCCTGGACTGTCGCTCTCACTCTTTGAACCAGAAGAGCTGGACAGCACTAAAAGTGAGCTCTGTCCCCATGACCGGGGATAGCAAGAATCAATGGCAAATGGCATGCAAATGGCCTAAGATGTCAATATGAATTACTAGCCACATGGATTCATGGTGGGCATGGATACTGATTGGATACTGTAGATACTGTAGCATATGCCGCAGTTCTGAGCGTTTCTCAGCGCCCCCAGCTGATCTATCACCCGGCGCATAGACGGCAGCAGCACCTAGAGGACAGCCAGTGGTCTACTCCATCAAAATTCGATGGATAATTATGGGTTTGCAATGATATGATATCATTGATATGTATGGATCAATTATGGATCTACACTTGTCACTTGAGATTCTTTACTTTACATTGTTATACTTCATGATTGCCATGATTCTGGATTATCATGGATTATCTGACATACTATGGAACTTGAATGCTGAAAGACTCAAGTTGGCAAACTGAGTTTTCGACTACCGGCGGAGCGGCGGGACTGGGCACGCCCCCTGGGACACAGTGCGTGCTGTTTCCAGTTCCAGCAAGTCTTTGCTGATTTTTCCTACAGATTATAGATAATGGGGTATACGATGCTACATATACTATTAGAAATAACACTACAATACCACTATATACCACTAATATTATCCAATTTTTATCCCCATGAATCTCACCATGCCCCGCCTCGAGCGTTTGGCCCTTGACGCCGGGCCGGCTCGACGCGCGTGTCCGACGCCGCTTCCGACGCCGGGGCCGTGGACGGCGTAGGGCGAGGCGGTGGCAGGGCCGTCCCCGAACGCCTGACCACGGTACCACGGGGGGGAGGTCCAAACAAGGCAGAGATTTACCGCAGAAATGAGGTTTGAACCACCAGGAATGGTGATGTTGAAACAACATATAGAGTCTCAATATAGAGATTCTGAAAGTGATGTTTCTAGATTTTCATGGAGTCTCACACAAAACCACATACTGCACATGACACCACATTAACCATCGGCTATCGGAGGAGTGTCCTCCCAAAATGTTGGCGATTTGACAGTCCCAGTTGGCAATCATTCTTCAAAACATAGGTTTGACAGCTGATCGAATTTAGATCATCTTTCACAGGATGGACAGTTTCCTCTTAATGATTCCTGAGAGAAATATGCCCCACAAAAACTGCAAAAAATTATTATGGTTCCCATCTATTCTAAATCAACCAGTGAAATGGCTATAGATGATTTAACAATATTTAACAAATACAGGCGAAAAAAAAAACATGTTCCCCGAGATTTAAACCGTGAGTTTCCATAGGTTTTCCGTCTGTTGGATCGTAAAAATACGCGTTTCTACATAATTCAACATTTTAAACCACAAGTGTACCCCGAAACCCTCCCTTGCCCCACGAAAAATCTTCCATCCGCACGGAGAACAAAAAACACGATTCCCCCCGGCCAGATCAGTGAGCTGCTCCAGTGGCTCGTCGGGATATCGATACCTCAATCTGAAGTGATGTTGTTCCGATTAGCAAATCTATCGTAATCATATAATAATCAATAATAAACCATCAATAATAAATAATGAATAGTCAGTAATGTAAAATAAATGAACAAACGGCATATTGAATTTAATAAATAGTCGATCATCAATAATCAACAATGAACAATAAATTGGATCAATCAATGTATTATCTCAATAATTTCCAATACTGTAGCCAGTAGTTCTCATATCATCAGCAATATATAGTCAGTAACAAATCATTGATCAATATACTGGCTCAATAGTGGTCTCAACACCTCAGTAGCATATATACTAGATAATTATCAACATAATGATTCATGAAAAAAAACGGTTGTCTTTTTGTGGGAATCAATGATCAATGATACTAGTCAATCTGATCTTGAATCAGAGTTGAATTCACCTGGTATCATGATTTAACGCGTGATGTCATTGTTGTCTTTGTTGCTGTTACTATCGGCATTATCGTTATCATTATCACCATATCACCATCATTATTCTTATCATTATTTTTGTCACTGTTTCTTATCATACCACCAGGGTGTGTCGAGGCCTGTTCTACTGGTGAGGAATATCACTGCAACAAGGATTGCACGGCTGGCTATCAGTATCAGGATGTGATCACTGTATTTAGTTCTGCCACTTTACATTGATTGAGGCAGGTGGCAATTTGTTGCAGTCGTGAATTTCATTGTATTTCGTTGTATTTCCTTCAAACCCGGGTTCAGCCATTCCTGAAATTACATTCAACTGCAATATCTACAAGTGGCAAGCAAGCGGAAACAGTTTTGCAATTGGCATCACACTGCCTGCCAGCATGTCTTATTGCATTTACTTCGAAGAACTCTTGGACATCAACCCACCTTAATCACCAACAAGGAAATCCTCAAACAATAATGAGAACAACATTGTAAGATTCCCAGTTAGCATAAGCAATTGAGCATCAACCATCAACCAGCATCAACATTATACAACACCCAGTTTATCTTAAAAAGGTCTTAAGCATCAACCATCACCAACCTAAAGATACCCCGTTCGCATCTGCCAGGCAGCGATAAGTTGGCTGCCAGGGCCAGTTCACGATCCATGAGGTTGATCACCTGTTGAAAAGCCATTCCGAGCCATGGAAAAAATGGGGCACATGTGAGAAACTATGGTTTTATACTCATAGATGGTTTTATACTCAACATTATAGATGGTATTGTAGATGGTGTATCCGCCGAAGCCCGCCGACAGCAGAGGGAGCGCGTCAGAGAAGAGGGGACAAGAGGAGCAAGAGGCTAGCTGCAAGAACAAGAAAGGCAAGCGGCAAGCTGCAAGAACAAAAGCCAGTCCAAAACGGAGCCTGTCCGTCCTTCACTGCCATAGTGTTTTAGCCTTCGGAGACCAGCAGCATGCCGAGGCCAAAGCGTGGTGGGCGTGGCGGAGATTTGTTTTTTAGGGTGTGGGAACTGCTTTTTAGAGCTAGCGTCTTGTCGGTTCAGAAAGCAACGTTAGGCACCACAGACCGCCGGAAACAAGATGGGACCTGGGATGCCAAGTTGGCAGCCTACTGCTTATGGTATACCTATGGGTACTGTATGTCATTGAATCTCACAAGTTGGTGTCCGCCGACCCCGGCCTTCGCCAAGGCAGGGGCAGCTGGAACTTGTCTTTCTTAGCTTCAAATGCTTCAATGCTTCGCGGCAGCTTTGATCAGCCTGCCGTTTGCCTCCACAGCCCTCTCTTGTTACGGCATTGCACGCCCAACCCCGCATGCAAAAGCCCCACGGCCACATCAATGGCTTCTTGGCGGTCAAGCAAGCTACCCCAAGGCCACATCAATGGGGTGGTCCAGCCTGCCATTCGCCAGGCGTTACACGCTTCAAACCCTTTAAACGCTTAAACATTCTCTTGGCATGCCTAATCAAACCCTTCAGACGCTTAAACATTCTCTTGGCATGCCTGATCCTCAGCCAACAGGCACCCCAAGGCCACATCAATGGCTTCTTATGGGCGTCCAAGCCTGCCGTTTGCCAGCCCTTTGCAAAAGCTTCTCGGAACGCCCAACCGCGCAGGCAAAAGCTACCCCGAGGCCACATCCATCGCTTCTTCTGGGCGGTCCAGCCTGCCGTTCGCCAGGCGTTACACGCTTCAAACCCTTCAAACGCTGAAACATGTTC